AAATGGAGCCATCCAGTATGTGTCCTTTGGGGATTGGTTTTTTCCACTCATCCTAACATCCTGAGAGATCCAAATTGTTGTTGTGTGTCATTAAACCACTCCTTTTTATTTTTGTTTTATTTTTATTTTTTTTTACACCACTCCTTTTTATTTCCGAGTAGCAGTAGTAGTATGGAGGGGCCAGTTTGTGTTCAGCCACTCACCGCTCGGAGGCCATTTTTGCTGTGTCCAGCTTGGAGCAATTACAGATAAAGCTGCTGCACTGTTGTGACTGGTTTTCATGTGGACATGAGCTTTCATTTCTCAATTGCTAGGTCACAGGGTATATGCATGTTCAGTTTTTGAAGAGCCAACCAGTTTTCCAGGGAGGCTGAAGCATGTTTGCATTCCCAGCGCCCGTGCTCTCTGTGGCCTTGCCAGCTCTGGGTGTGGTCCCCGCTGGTTTCAGCTGTCCTGACCGGTGTGGAGTGGGCCCTCCTCGTGCTCTTCCATCTGCTCTACCCCGATGCCTACCATAGCCAGCACCTCTCTGTGTGCTTATTTGCCACCCTATACCTTCTTTGGTGAAATGTCTGTCTCTGTCCCATTTTCTAACTTGGTTGTTTGTTTTCTCGCTGTTGAGTTGCAAGAGTTCTCCGTGTGTTCTAGATATGAGACTTTGGTTACCTGTGGGTCTGTAAGTACTTTGTCCCGGCCTCTGGCTCAGCCTTGTGTCCTCTCCGCAAGGTCTTTCATAGAGCAGAGAAGTTTCTCACTTTTAGTGGAGTCAATTTAATGATTTTTTTAAAATTTATTTATTTATGATAGTCACAGAGAGAGAGAGAGAGAGGCAGAGACACAGGCAGAGGGAGAAGCAGGCTCCATGCACCGGGAGCCCGACGTGGGACTCGATCCCGGGTCTCCAGGATCGCGCCCTGAGCCAAAGGCAGGCGCCAAACCACTGCGCCACCCAGGGATCCCTTTTTTTTTTTTTTTTTTTTTTAATGGATCTGTGTTTGGTGTCATGTTTAAGAAATCCTGCACTGGGATCCCTGGGATCCAGCCTCTTGAGAGGGTGGATTATAGAGATTGATTCTTGAATTTTGAATTGGCATTGCATCCCTGGAATAAATTCCACTGAGTTGCAATCTACAATTCTTTTTATATATTGCTACTTAGGATCTTTGCCCTTATATTTTATGGGGGACTTTGGCCTGTAGTTTTCTGTTTTGTACTGTTGTCTGGATTTGGGGTCAGGGTAGTACTGGCTTCATGGATGCTCTGGGAAGTGATCCCTTCTTGCCTGTGGTTCTCCAAGAGAGTGCATGGAGCTGCTGTGCATTCTTCTTTCATTGGTGGATAGAATTCCAGTGAAACACCTCATGGGTCTGGACACAGGCTCTGCAGCAAGAGACATCAGGGCCTCCACTTCCCGAGGCTGTAGTGACAGAAACCCTGTCCTGCCCTGCCAGGGAAGGGAGGGACCGGGCTGACCCAGAGACAGCTGGCCCAGGGGCCTTGAACTGTACCTGGCTTCACTTTCTCTTACTTATAGCCGACAGCGGACCCTGCTCACCTGGAGCTTTACCCCTCTCTCCCTCTGCCACACAGTCTCTGTCCAAGAGGGGCCCATCCCTGGGGTTCAGTGGGAGGGAAGTGCTGTGTGCAGGAGCTCTGTAGGCTGTCTGTATCCAGGGAAGCAGGGGGTGGAGGGATTCCAAACCCTCTGCAGCATCTCCTGTGGATTTCAGTGATGATTAGTTCTCCGGGAAGCGGCATGCTGGTCCACCAAATGTTCTAGTTAGTAATGTCCATGTGAGACATACCATTCTCTCCTTAATGACTCGGAATGATCAACATAATCTTGGGGTGCCTGTCACCCTGGTTTTGTTTTGTTTTTAAGATTTTATTTATTTATTCATGAGAGATACATAGAGAGAGGGGGGCAGAGGGAGAAGCAGGCTCCATGCAGGGAGCCTGATGTGGGACTTGATCCGGGGACTCCAGGATTACGCCCTGGACCAAAGGCAGGCGCTAAACTGCTGAGCCACCCAGGGATCACCCTGATTTTGAAGGCTAATTTGTATTGCCTCTGGGGGGATGGTTTGTTGAGAATTTCATGCTTCTAGAACCCCAGCCACCCAGTTTCTCCTCTGCCTCAAGGGGGTCTCCATGCCACTCCCTAGGACTTGTGTGCCCACCATATCCCTTTTCTCTCACATATCCAAAGGCTCTGCGCTCACCTTGGGTTTCAGGTGCTATCTTCCCAGCTCTGTTTCTCTTCACCTTTACCCTTCCTCAAACATTTAAATCACAGAATGTAAAATCAGCTTGCTCTCCAATTATTCTTCGCCACACTATTACAGTCTTCTGTAATCTCGCTGTGGGCAGGTGTCTCAGTTCCCCCAGGCTGCAATAACAGAATCCCACAGCCTGCGTGGGATAAACACATTTATTTCCCACAGTTCTAGAGGCTGGACAGGTTGTGGCGAAGCCTCCTCCTGGTTCCTGGAGGGTCACCTTCTGGCTGTGTCCTCACATGGTGGAAGGGTCGAGGGAGCTCTCTGGGTCTCTGCCCTCACAACCCATGCATCTCCCCAAAGCCCCACCTCCATATACCATCATACTAGGAATTAAGTTCGAACATATGAATTTGGGGGAAACAAATATTCGGTCTGTGGCTGCAGGCATTTTTGTCTGTTTTATACCCCACAGTATTGTTAGTACTCAGAGAGGAGCATTTAGTGTGAAAACCTTGGTTAACAAATATTTGCGAAATAAGTACTGGTCCTTGTTGATACCCGCTCTTCCTAACCAGGAGCTGCTAAGTTGCCTGGAGGAGGTGGGGTTCTAGGGTCCCTTGGGGTGGACATAGCTGCTGCTGCTAGGCTTACACAGCAGGCAGGGCTCTTGGTCATTCTACTTGCTGAAACTTGTCCACAAAGGCTCTCAGGCTGTCCTCTGTACCACTTATCTTGGGGCCCCCACAAAACCCCACAGGTGCAGTGAGTGGCCCTATGTCCATTGTTTCCTGATGAGGCCCAGGGTCAGACAGACCCCGTGGGAAGCATGGCCTGGCAGTGCCTGCTGTGGGATAGAGTTCCACCTGCCTCTGTGTGTGCCCTGGGGTGGCAGAGCACATCATGCAGGGCCTGGGAGGAGCACTAGATTGGGAGAAGGCAGCCCTGGCACATTTTAGGCCCTCCCTGAGCCCTAGGCCCTTCACCTGTGAATTGTGGGTACAGGATGGCTGAGAGCCGGAGATGGGTGGAGGGCGTGAAAGCGCACTCTGAGCCATGCATCCCATCCCCACATGTGGTATGCCCTGCCAGTACCTCCGTGTTGCCAGGCCCGCTCCCTCCCTTTCCCGCTTCTGTCTCCTGGGGCTGCTGCTGAGTCACCGGAACCAGAGGGTGGTGTGAAGAAAGCAATCAATCAGAGGGCTCTTAAGGCTGAGTAGTGATGCTGGAATGCACTAGAAAATCAGCACGGAGATCCTCTAGGACTCATTTCCTGGAATGGAGTCCTTTCCAGGAAACTGGCAATCTTGGAAACTTTAAAAAAAAAATATTTCCTAGTTTCAGTTTCCTTATCTGTAAAGTGGGGGTGCCAATGCCTGCCTCCCAGGGATTCAGCAAGACAGCACGGATGAGAATACCAGGCTCAGAAGCCATGGGAGCGGGCAGGCAAGTCCCTATCCTGCCCTCTGCCTTCCTTCTGTCCATCCAGCTCTGCTACTGGCCTCTGCAGTCCCTGCAAGCCCACCCCTGTTGTCCCTGTGCAGCCAGCCTCCATCCATGTGGATCAGCTGGGTAGCAATGAAATCACCAAGAGGAAAAGCACAGTCTGTCTTGGCTCTGGGACCTTGGAGATGGTTATCAGGCTGGGAAGCTGGGACACCCACACCCAAAGCAGGAAACCCACACCCACCAGGCAGCACGCAGTGGGCAAATGAAGAAATGGCTTCTAGAGTTGCCTCTAGAGTAGAGAGCATCTTAGGATGCCTGGCTCTGACCTTTGCCAGAGAGGTGGTTGAGACCCTGCTCTCCCATACCCAAGCAGCCCTGCCACCAGAGCTTCCTACAGGGCCTTGGGGAAATTCAGAAGGCTCCTGGCTGCCTGTGTGTGATTTTTTCTTGCACCTTGAGATTCATCTGCAGTCTTAAAGGAGGGAAACATGCTCAAGAAGAGATTTAGAAAAAGAAAGAAAAAAAAGAGATTTAGGTGTTCACCTGGCGAGGAAAAAGTTTTGGGATTCATTTATTCAGTGAGCTTTCGTTGACCGCTTGCGTTTTGCTGGCCTATGTGAGTACAGCGTGAGCAAACACAGCCCTACCGTTGCAGGCCTCACAGTTTGAAGGGACTAGTTGTTACTCGGAGGACTCCAGGGGGTTGCCCTGTCACCACTCTGAGAAGTGCTGCGGGGCCATGGTGTTGGCAGGGTGCTCAAGAGGTGAAGCAGAGGTTTCTCTGAAACTGAGGACTAGTCATGAGGCTCCAGGCAAAGGGAAGAGTCTGTGCAAAGGCCCTGGGGAGGAGACAGCTGGCCAGGTTCAAGGAACCCAAGGGTGCTGCAAGTGGTGGAAATGTGGGAATGGGGCCAGCAGGCAGGACCAGAGCTTGCCGGTGACACGTGGGTCCATGTTGCAGGCAGAAAATGGGAAGCAATTGGGGGCGCAGCAGCAGTGGGTTTTTTTTTTTTTTTCCTGCCTCTTCTGTTGGGAGCAGCTCAGGAGCAGGGCCTGGAGCTAGGCAGACCTGTGAAAGTGAGCTCTGGGGCACACAGACCTGCCCTGAGTCGCCATTCCTCTTCTGAACAACCTCGTTGAATAAGGAACCCGGCGCGGGGGCTGCACCACTTCTCCTTTGCTGAGCAGAGCTGGCCTGGGGTCGCGGTCCGCGCGCACCGCCGGCAGCCCCGCCCACCACTGGGCCACGCCCACACGCTGCCGCCTCCCACGCCCAGCGCCCGCGCGCTTGCGTCACCGCATGGCCGGCTGGATCCGGTTCTAGCCGAGCCGGGCCGGCCTGACATGCGCAGTGCGCGGGCGCTGCGACCGGGCGGGCCCCGGGTACGCCGATGGCCCGGGACGCGGAGGTCAGTTCGCGGAGCCCGGGAGAGGGGCCCAGTGGGTGTGGGGGGGTCGGCCCCGCAGGAGCGCGCGGCGGGCGGGGCGTGTCCGGGGTGGGGGGGCTTGCCGCGGGGGCCCGGCTGGGGGAGGCCCCAGGCTCCAGTAAGACGGCTTACCGTGAGGGCGGGATGCCCTTCCCCCATGGGGTCGGGCGCGGGTGGGCCCAGGCCGCTGCTGGGGTCACGTCGTCCTGGGAGCCCCGCCCAGCAACCCCGTCCGCTTTACTTACCCTACTTCCGGGGTCCCCGTTTACAAAGGATGGGGGGCCCCGGAGCGCCCTGCTCCCCAGCCTCCGCGTCCTGCACGATGAAGATGGAGCTCCGAGCTGTCCTGCGCGGGGGGAGGCGGGAGGAGGGCTCTGAGCTGTGTCCTGCACCCGGGGCAGGCCGAGGGCGGCGGCGGGGGGGGGGGTTGTGTGACGCTCCGAGCTGTGTGCTACACGGGGGGAGGAGGGGGGGTGCACCGAGGTGGAGCGGGGTAGTCCTAGGGGGCTCCAGGCTGTGTCCTACACCAGAGAGGAGGGGCACTCGAGCTGCGTTATGCACCAGAGGAGGGAGCTCCAAGCCGTGTCCTGCACCAGGGTGGAGGAGGGTAGTCGTGGGGGGCTCCTAGCTCTGCCCTGCACCAGGGGGGCCTGCAGGCTGTGTCCTGCACCGGGGAGTGGACATGAGGGAGGCTCTGAGTTGTACCCCACCTGGGGAAGGCTTCTGGTGCCCACTGACCTCTAGTTGCTGGTTCAGAGACCTGGGTTCTAGTCTCAGCCCCGGGCCATGTGACCCGACGGGAGTCCCCTGGCTCTCCACCCTGTTTTCTCTGTAAAACTGGGGAGTGGTCTAAGCCCTGTCCTTGCTCTGCACCTGGGACTGACCTGTCCTTATCCTCTCCTTTCCTGGGATGGGTGTCATACTTTGCTTGGGACAGCTCTTCAAGGCTTTGTAGCCCAAGGTAGCTTAATCTTTGCAAGGCCCAGCCACACTTAGCACATCATGGTTTGAGGGAGGAAAACGTACAAGGGTGTTACTCTTTGCTTGTGAAATTATTTGGCCGTAGCTCATTATCTGGGAATGATTTTTCACTGTACTTCAGGAATTCTTGCAAAGTGACAAAAGCCTAACCCATGATTTCCAGATGTGATGAAATTAGCTTGAAAATTATATTTAACAGCTGATGGGGTGGACTTAACAATGTACTGTAGACATTTAGTGAAGCACTTGTTTTAATTTTGCTGTTTCATCTTGGAGCCAGTAACCTGTTTTGGTTTTCTTCCCATAGCTCAGACCTTTTGTGGGTCCTGAACAACCCATAGGGCCCAAAAGGCAATGGGGCCCCTGAGATGAGGATGTACATCGAGTTGCCCTGTTCACTTTGTACCCAAAGGCTCGGCCATCTCCTCTTCCTCGGGCACAACAGCTGCTGAGGAGGAATGCAGTCCAAGGACTGCTAGGCTGAAGCAGCCTGACAATATTGGAAAGTCTAGTGCAGAACTGCAGGTTCTTGTCCTTGAGGGAAGCAGTGTCGGGGCTTCTTCCAGCAGTTGCCCTGGGAGAGCTTGTGCTCTGTGCCTGCTCCCAGATCCCTGGGCCCCCTTTCCACTAAGGTGGAAGGTGGGTGCTTTCGCATTTTTGTAGAATGCTTTCCAGAGTAGAAGCGAGTGTCAGTTCAGAAATTGTTGAGTTGTTTTTTGAGTATTAAATGTTATTTCTAGACTCATTTATAAGTTGTATAGTTAACATTCTGCCTGGCTCTGCCCATTCTGGCCATCTGCCTGCCAAAATGGCATTTCCAGATTAAACACAAAGTGCAGCCTTCAATTCCTGGCCAGTCCCACGTTTCCGGAAATGAAATGAAAGCAGATTCAGAGTTTACTAGGAAGGAGATGGGCGTGGCCTCGGGGCCTGCTGTGAACACCCCTTGGGCCTGGGGCGGTGCATGTGACCTTTGCCTTCCAATCTAGCCCTAGCACCCAGAAGTCATAACTGACATTCCACATTAGGCTGTTGACCATGCAGAACGCAGCTGGGCTCCACGCCTGTGCTGGCCCACTAGTAATGAGAGAAAGATGACTTGAGTCTAGATTATTTCCTAAAATCAAGTGAGGGTCCGTTGAGCCTAGGACTACTTATGGATGACAAAGCTCATACAGAGGGGAGTCAACCCAAGGCAGCGAAAGCTGGCAGGCGGGGTAGTAAGGGACAGGGTGGCCCTTGGGGCCTGGAGCTCCAGGAAGACCCAGCCTCAGCCAGGCAGTTAGCCTTTCTCCTAGGGGGGCAGTGTTTACACCTTCTCTGTGGCCGAGAAGTGCTGGGTTGGTGGGGGGGGGGGTCCTCCTGGCCCAGCATCGGGTCCTATGCCTGCCTGGTGAGAGGCTTAGCAAGGAGGGGCCCTCACAACCTCCTTGAGACTCTGCTCTCAGAAGATCCTAAGACCATTGTGCTGGAGCAGGCCAACCCCCTCTGCCATAAACGCCCAGTAAGAAGAAACACCGACCCCTCAGCTGGTTAGGGAGGCAGAGGAGTCTCCAGAAATGGAGGGCCCGCTTAACAGATTGTGTCTGTGGAATGGACGTTCTTCTGATGAAAAAGGCATCTTCCCTGTCCTCATGCTCTTCTTTGCCATGTGTTGTGTGGTCTTACTTAACCATCTCAGGGCCCTGAAGTCTGTCCCCCAGCCTCTCTCAGCCTGTGAGTGTGCATCCTGTGAATTGTACCTCTTCTCCCCTGACCTCCCACCTCTGCTGCCAGGGTTGGCATTCTCCTGCTAACCATCAGCATTCCCTTCTCCCATAACCTGTATCAGCTCAGCCTGTTTGCATGTCGTCCCTCTGTGTCCACCTAGAGCTCCTGAGAACAGAGTTGCTCTTCGCTTATATCCCCTGAGGCTCCTGGCAGGTGCTTTGCCCTGGATGGCTGCCTCAGATGGTGCTCGGTAGAAGTAGTGCTGAGATGGCCCACATCCCACACTGAACTGAAACTGGTGGCGGGCCCTGCACTTGACAGAGGCAGGATCATCCCACTACACCTGCTGGGAGGTGGGCTTGTTGGAGTTTCTGCCAGTCAGGACTCCCTGCAGCAAAGAAGGGGTTGGCTGCTATTTGGTAAAAGAGGGAAGGTGTCACCGATATCTGTCAGGTGGCTCTCCATATTGATTATCAGGCCCTTTGGGTACCACCTGCACACTTCCCTCCCTCTCATGGAGGGAGGAACATGGAGATTTGTCCACTTCCCCCAAAACCCTGGCCCTTGCTCCTCCTGTCCATCTGTGTGTCTGACATCACTAGAGAGTAGACCCTCCAAGGACAGGGCTGGACATGCTGACTTTGGATGGGTGGACAGACAGACCAGCTGTGGAATGGTAAATGTGACCTAAATAAAAGGAGTGACTTGCAGTATCAGAGAACTTTGTTTCCAGAAACCTAACCTTTATAAAGGTCTCAGGGCTGGAGGTTCCCTCTGCAGGCAGGGGAGCAACTGAGACCATGGAGCCCTTTGTGCAGACACCTGTGGTACCAAACTGCAGGGCTGGGCAGGGGAGCTCACCTTGCTGGCTCAGGGCCACCGTCTCCAAAGGAATCCATAAGCTGGCCCTAGCATAGCCTGGGAAAGGCTATAGCATTCTGACACCCATCTCAGGCTGACGTTCTATGGGACCATCAAAAACGTTTTGTGGGGCTGGTCCTCTTTCACTTGGTTCTCATACCCAGATGTGTACACCTGTATGTCTTTGGGCTTTTCAGTATGTACTGGTCTCTAACAAACTTCACCCTCACACCACAAATCCCATTTTTGTCCCGGGGTTAAAAGAATCAGCAATAAAAGCCGAGCTGCCAACACTCATGACCCATGCTGACCTCCTAGCTCTGAGGTATGTGGTGCATATGGCCTACCCAGCACAAAGTGTGGCCCTGTCGCCTTCCCCTCAGAAGCTGAGCCTGGGAGGCAGGTCCCACTGACAGCCCAGGCCATGGGATTTGAAGAACGTTGGTGTGGGAGACCTTCCCCAGAGCATGGCCAGTCCTCTGAGGGCCACCATCCCTACCTGCTTCCTACTGGGACCGTCCAGGGACAAGACTTCACCCATCAAATTCCTCATCTCTGAAAACCGAGGAGGTGAGCTCATTTGGGATCCTGGAGTCTGTTCTTTGATGTGTGTGCCTGCGTGTGTGTCTGGGAAAAGATTCCAGCAGCTTCCATCCTATTCTCTGAGGCCAGGTGGATTTTGATCAGGAGAAGTGGGTGGGGAAGGAGCCTGGCTGTTCCAGTGCATGTGGTGACAGATGCAAAGCCTGTAAATCTTTGCAGGCTTGGGGTGACGGGTAGAGACCTCTCACCTGTGCTCTGCAGCACTGCACTATGACAGGGCTGTCAGGCCTGCCGTGGGTGTTAGCAAAGCGTGGATGGTCTACATTCTGGTCACAGTGTCTCTTTGCCCCTGTGTGTCCTGTGTTTGGTTTCTTGGATTTGAAAGCCGCCTCAGAGGGCTCCACAGGCTCTATCGCTTGCCTAGGCATCTGGATCCAGGAGCTGTGCTCTGCGAGGAGCCTCCGCCGGCCACAACAGCTCTGGCAGCCGCCCTCCCTGTCCTCCAGGAGCTCACTTATATCTGGCCGTGAGCTCCTCGAGGCCAGAGCCCGCGTCTGCCTCCACTCAGCACCAATCCAAGATCCCCAGAGGCCGTGGCGCCCCCCACTACACACACAGGGCCACACGACTCCCATTTTTCATAGCAGCTTCTGTAGTGTACCAAAGCAGCAGCTTCCTAAATCATCAATGCACATTTTCTGAAGTTCCTGTTTTAATCCGGATACTGGGAACAGGGGCGCCTGGGTGGCTGTCAGTTAATCTGCCTTTAGCTCAGGTCATGATCCTGGGATCCTGGGATCGAGTCCAACATCAGGCTCCCTGCTCAGTGGAGAGCCTGCTTCTCCCTCTGCCTAACCCACCCCCTCCCCCCACTTGTGCACATGCTCGCTTTCTCTCTCTCTCAAGTGAGTAAAATTTTTTTTTTAAGTGAGTAAAATTTAAAAGCAAGACACCATGTCGTATTTATGGTGTGACTTTGCTTTTATAAGAAAAATGCAGCTTTGGGGCACCTGAGTGGCTCCATCAGTTACATATCTGCCTTTGGCTCAGGACATGGTCCCAGGGTTCTGGGATCAAGCCCCGCATTGGGCTCCCTACTCAGCAGAGACCCTGCTTCTGCTTCTCCCCCTGCCTCTATTGTTCCCCCTACCTGTGGTTGGTTCATGCACTAGCTCGCTCACTCTCTCTCTCTCAAATAACATCTTAAAAAAAAAAAAAAAGATACTGCAAACAAAATGAAACTGGAAAATTGTCCCATTTGCACAGAAGCAAAGAAGTGACTATTCACATGTTAACTCAGGCAGGTGTCTTGGGGTGGTGAGAGGGAGTTTGGGGAGATCAGCCTGAGGAGGAAGGGGCAGTGCACCCCTGCACATTTTACTGAACTGGAGTCTACTAGGTGTTGCTCTGGGTCTCTGGTCATGGCCTTGACGCCAGTTCTGTAGACAGTGCCACCGAGGAACCCAGGTGGGGGGTAGGCAGGAGGTCTGTATTGCCTCTATCAGCTGCATGTGTGTCTACTTATATCAAAATAAAACATTGCATTGAAAAATTCTAGGAAATACTCTCGTTTGTCCTTGTTTATAGAAAAGGAAACTAGTTTGTTACTATAGATGACCCTTCTAAACCTTTATAACTGCAGTAATGAGTCTGATGGAGTCTTTGAACTGAGAACAGATTTCGATGGTGCCACAGACAGAGGCGTGGCCTTCCTGCCTGCCCTCTGGACTCCTGGGGTTCACAACCAGAAGGAAGAAGGGCTCCAAGGTGGGGAGGCCTGCGAGCTGGAGATCTATAGAACCCCATCTCCTTAGTCCCTTCTGACCTCCGAACTCGGGTCTGGAACTGTTGGCTTCAGAGCACCAAGACTCAGAAGGGTCAACAAACCCCACTGTGTCTCTGGAGGGCCTCTCATGCCAAAGATGCTGCTTGGAGTATGTCCTGGGCAGTTTGTGGACAACTGTGGTTAAGGATCCTCTGCCCGGGGCCTATACAGATGGAGCTCGGGCAGGTTCTGTCCCCATCTGTGAATAGGACACAGGAGAGAGGTTGTGCCTCCGTTGTGGCCCAGGCCTTTAGGAGCAGAGAAGGAAGGGGAGGAGGCTCCTCAGCAAGTGCCACCTCCACCATGGTCTGTCATTTTCAGCCCAGATCCTACCCCCTGCCCTTGGGTGAGGGCATACCTAACAGCACACACCTGCCTCAGGCTTGCACTTGACTGACCATTCTGATTACGTGATGTTCCCATGCACTGATTCTGTTGGGTTGTCAGTTGATGGGTTTTGCCAGGAGACAGGTGGATGAGGGTGCTGCTGTACCTGAGCTGGCGATCCCCCCCATCCAATGGCAGGCAGTGAATAACAGCACTGTTTGATTGCCTGGGGGTACACTGATGAACACCCCAGCCCCAGGCCCTGTGGGAAAGCAGTGCCTCACAGCCACTTGATCGCACTTTCTATCTAGATGAAGAAAGGATTACTGGACTCCAGCCTGCCTTCTGATGCTTTTTTTTTTTTTTTTTTCTTTCTGATGCTTCTTAAAACCACTCCCAGGAGTTGAGTTCTGCCACCAAATGAACAGATTTCTGGGGAGCGTAAAGGTCTGGTCCTGTGGGTGAAGGGGGCCCGACCCTGATCCCCAGGCAAGCAGGGCCCATGGATGCCCCTCGATGTCCTTTCTTTTCAGAGGCAGCCAACAAGTCCATTGGGACCTGGGGTGAGCCTGGGAACCACTCTGGCTTTATGACAATTCTGGCCTCTTTCCTAAGCCAACCCAGTGGCCATATCTTCAGTCGGGGTCAGGAGAAGGAGCAGACCCCAGGACAGCACCGGGCCTGCCCACTGGTCTCATCATGGCGTCACTTTTTTTAAGGTTGTTTTTCAGTAATCTCTATACCCAATGTGAGGGTTGAACTCAATACCCTGAGATCAAGAGTCACGCTCTTCCGACTGACCCAGCCAGGCACCCTGTCACGGTGTCACTTGCCTGGAGGTTCAGTGAGGCAAATCTGACTAGTCAGGGGCTCCAGATGGCACAGCCGTCAACCAGAGCTGGTGTAGATGATGTGGGGTGGCCAGGCAGGAAGTTCCTACCCAGGGCTGCCCCTGCTTCCCTTCCATCTAAGGGCAGGGGCCTCACCAGGTGGCAGGATGCCCAGCTCCGTAGCTGACTCAGGACCATGATGGGAAGGGGATCTGCTTTCATTCCTGAAGGATCAGGAGGTCTGTGAAGGCAGGACACTGCAGAGAATGATGTAGACATGATGGAGGCCAGTAACATCCCAGGGAAGAGGAGTGGCTGTGGGGTTGTGCTGTGGTCTGTCTCCACTTTCCCCGGCTGTCCCACCCCAGAGGTGGATGGAGCAGGAGACAAAATCCCTGGGTGCAGGCAACTCTGATCTCTCCTCAGTGGGAAGAAACCAAGGCTGGAAGTGGACACTCAAACATCTGGAGGTGAGAACTGGCACACTGCAAGCTGCTCTGCAGGAGCCAGTAGGCACTCCTTCTCAGGAATGGTGGCTCTGTGGTGAGGAAGGAGAGCAGGCACTTCCTGCCCCCCTCCCTGGGTCTTGCCTGCACACCTACCCTGGGGGCATGGGTCAGTGTCAGTCACAGACCCCATCTAGGTAACGCTGCTTCCCCCCAGGGAGGCAGACCCTCTGGGTTCATGCAGAGTGCACCACGCTCCTTCCCCTGCCAAGTGCCGTGTTGGCTCACGCTCATGGTGTCCTGGGGGAGGACTTCCTCCCTCTTACCTCCAGCCAGGCTGAAGACCTCCTGGTGAGAGGGGGGCTGTCCTGGAGGTTGAAGGGGACCCCTCCTCCACAGATACAGGGCACAGGTGCTGGCAGCCCCCTGCCTTCCTGACACCACACTGAGGGCCAGCTGGAGGGTTGCCTTCATTCAGCCTGCTTTCTGATCCTCGGAGCCTCAGACTCTTCTTCCCTGCCTGCTCCCTCCCCCCCAGTCCCGGTACCAGTGCCCAGAGCTCGAAGTCATCTGGAGCTTGCAGAGGAAGCGTGTCCTGAGCTAGGACATGGCTCTGGGTTTACCTCCTGTGCTGGGGTGACAAGTGGAGATGGGACAGGTAGAAGCTTATAGGTCTGAAGGAGGCTAGTCCTGTGGTTTTAGATGCCCTGTAGAAAGCCAACAGCTTGGAAATGTTGAACCTAAGAGGAGCTGGGGCAGAGTCTAAGTCTCTGGGAGGCCCAGCCCTTCTCAGTTCTTGCCTCCCTCTGAGAATGGTCCTGGTGCTTCAGGAGCCAGAACCCAGCCTGCTGGATAGGCATCTCTGCCTTCATGACTCTGCTTCAGTCCCAACACAGACTGGCCTCTGGGATGTGGGGGCTCCTGAGCTCCATGTGCTGCTCCCCATCTGTAAAGACCTGAGCTCTGTCAAACCCCACAGCTCTCTGCAAATGTCAGCTGTTAAAATTAGTGAATGCTGTGGGAGGTGGCTGGCTATGTGCAGTGCCTGTGGAGAGGGAAGCTTGGTGCTGATTTGCAAATGTGGGCACTAGGCCTTGCAGGGTGAAAACTGCAGGCCTGGGGAAACTCATCCTGTCTTGTCCTTGCTGGCTGCCCTGGGCCAGACTTGGGGGTGGCTGCAGTTGACAACCTGACCTGGCCGTGTGGTGAGCCCTAGAAACATGGCCAGTCCAGACAGAGATGTGTTCTCTGTGTACAGGACGCAAGGATTGCAAAGACAGTGTAAAAGTAAGAACATAAAATTCCATTCCAGCTTTTATATTGCTTCTGCAGGGAGGTGACAACACTGTATTGTGGTGGGTCTGGGCTGCTTTCTGCCTTAGATGGCATCTGCCAAGGCCCAAGCCCCTGCCTGGTGGAGCTGTGGGGTGAGCAGAGAGAGGGGTGTGCACACACCTCAGTGTCTGGCCTGGGGGGCCATCGAGGACAGTGCACAGAGAGGAGTTGAGGGTCTTTATCTAAATTTGGCTACGTTCTAGATCCACTTTCTCCTGCTGGACTTACTTTTCCTTTTGCCACGTTCTGAAAAATATATAGCCAGCAAATGTAAGGAGGCATCACTCCACCACGTAGACAGGCAGAGAGAAGGTTCCGGAGCCCAGGGAGAAGTTCTCATCCCATCCTCCAATGCTAATCGAATTTTGGGTTTTCACACACAATCTTGGGGAAGAAGAAAAGTTTCCTTTGCTTTACAAAACCTTGTAAGCGTTGAGTCTGGCATTTCCTGTTTTCCAAGTGGGAAAACCAGAGGATGGCTGGTGTGTCCGGCCCTCCTCTGCAGCTGGCGGCAGGACCAGCACTGACCAGGGGGTAGTGTTCTCCATCACCCTCAGTCTTTGCCACATCATTAGACTTCAGCAGCTCCTGGCCCATCCTCGGCTCTGGCCACTGCTGTGCCCATGTGGATGGGGCCTGCTTCCCCTCCCTGCTCTCTGTGTGAAGATGAACAATTGATCTCTGCTCCTGGATGCTCTGGGAAAGACGGGGCCCTTTCTCTGGGATACACAGAGCTGCTGTCAACCCTCATGGAGCCTGAGCCAGTCCAGAGGCTATGGCTGCACACTATGGCCCTGGGGGTCAGGGTGAGCTGTCACCCTTGGAGCCTCCCCTCAGGTCCTGAGGTTCAGAGCAATCCGTGTTTCAACCAAGGCAGCTGCCATGCTCAGGAGCAGGTGTAAACAATTGACAAGGCACACAATGGTGCGTGGACAGTGCCCACATCACAGCTCATGTCACCCTGGTGGGCACTGTGTGTCAAACCAAAATAGTGGGCAGGGCAAGATCCCTTCTCTGAGTAAACGGCTGTGATGTGTCTCATGTGACAGAAAGTCCAAACTGGACCATCTGGCTCAAAAAGGGACACTGCTGCGAGGTCTGCAGGAGAGTCTAGGCAGCATTTTGTCTAGATAGAGCACATCAGCTGACCTCACAGACACTGCCCCCGGACAGCTTCAGTTTCCAGAGAAGCGGCAGTGCACAATGCCCAGGCAGGGGTGGGAGGTTGGCCCCTGCCCCCTGCGCTGGGGCACATGATGCCCGTCAGCATAATCCTCAGCTCTTGGGGTGGCCTCAAGCACGAGCCCTGGTCTGTGCAGCCTGGTTTCTCTGGTCAGTTTGGTCTGGAATCAGTAGTCTTTGTGAACCCTGTGACAGCTGGTCCTCAGCTGTCCCCTATCCCCCCCACGTCTCCAGCCCCTGCCATGCTGCCTAAGACATAGGGGTCTGCAGGGCTGTCCGCCCACAAGTCCACACTGAACCAGCAGAGAGCCTGACCCCACAGGCCTTGACAGCACAGTCACAGTGCAGAGGGGTCCCAGGGAAGGAAGTCTGTGGGCTTCGGGCCTTGTAAACTCATACTTTTCCTGCTGTGGTTTCACCAAAATGAATCGACACAAAGGTACAAAACTGATCTCCTACAAGCTTGGCATCCTGTGTGCTGAAAGCCCTTACCAAAAGCAGAGGACGGCCATCACCCGTGCCCACAGCAAGACCACCCACTCGTGGCTCTAGATGCCCCCAAACCCGTTCAAGGAGATACTGCGCCTCCAGTGTTTCCAGATGGCCCCCAAGAACACATGAGTGAGACTCAGAAGCCAGGGGTCTGGACT